ACATACATGACAACTGAATTAAAGTGAAGATCTTGTCATTTTCCCAATTTTGAGCACCTTCTCTACTTTCTTTTCTCTCCATCATTCTCCATTTGGAGAAGCTAAACCACAGCACTATTTCAGTGATATATGGCTCTTAAAATGTTCTTCCAAGCATTTGCCTGGCTATGCATGTTACACTAATCCCAGGAGATAGCTGATCGTGTACTCCTGTGGTGATGTTTTATTTATGATGTAATAAATAAAGCTTACCTGAAGGTCAGAATGTAAAACTAGCCACACTAGTCAGCCATAGAGGACAGGCAGTGTTGGTACACACCTTTAATTCCAGCAGCCACAGTAGTTAGCCAAAGAGGACATGCAGTGCTGGTTCACACCTGTAATCCCAGCACGCAGGAGACAGAGGCAGATGAATCTCTGTGAGTTCAAGGTCATCCTGGGCTATACAAAATTGATCCAGTCTAAAAGAGAAACAGAGCTCACACAAAAGTGATTCCAGCACTTGCAATGATATGAATTTAATCTCAGCATTTAAGAGGTGGAGACACGAGTGATATGGCTAGGCAGGGAGAGAAATATAAGCCAGAAGGAGACTTCCTAAAAGGCATTCAAAATCAGTCAATCCATTGTGTACCATGGTCTGCAGTAAGGAAGGACCTGAAGTGGACATATTATCTTTTTCTAATGCTAGAGAGGAAAAGATTTCAAATTCATCACTTCCAGTAAAATCCTCCTTTCCTGGACTATTTTAATAGCCACATTTTTCTGTGTGATATTTAGAAGTTTTAATAACTTTGCAGTTTCCTTAGATTTGTCAGAACAGAATATATATATTACCTGAAGGTGTTATCAAGAGCTATGATTATGATGTCCCTTATGAATTTTCATTCCTTTTTGTTTTGTTTTTCTTTGTCCCATTAATCTAGGTAGTCAGTTCTATGACTGTATTATTTTACTTTCATTATAATTCCTCAGTTGAAGATTTACAGCTGACGTTTGTTACCTTTCAGCAGTCAAAACATCTTTTAGGAAAGGGTGAGCAATATCTACAACTGACATCTAAATTGTCCTACTTAACAGTTCCTCAGCCTCCATGATATACACTGTAATTCAATGGCTCTTAACAATAATAATTGGGGAAAAAGAGATTGTCAGTTTGGAAGGGGGTGCATGGAAGGGAATGGGGGGGCTAGAAGGAGGAAAGAAAAGGAAACAGTGATGAAACTACATTTTATTAAATGTATAAATATTAAGAAAGAAAACAGATTATACATCAGCAACAATAAAAATAACAACTTTAAACAAAAGATCTTGTAATACCGTGGAGAATTTTTCCATATGCCAAGATCTGATTTTCATTGTTAAGGGATGGATAGTCACAGTTTGAGAGTACATTTTCACTAATATTTTTTTAACAATTCTGTCTGTGATTGCCACCTCTCTACTACCTGTTTGTATATCTAATCAAGAAAATGACCTAAGCACTCCTAATAGTAGTTACAGAAAGGTAAAGGGCCTCAGTTCAGATCTCTTGCTGTTTCACAGTGTTGATATTATTACTGAGGAGCTGTGTATTACTTCACTCAATTTATTCCAGAGATATTATAACATGTTCAATCATGTTGTTTATAAAATTCCTATTAAATCTACTTTCCAATTCATTTCTTGTACTCCAAATTAAATTTCATTTACATTTTCATGTATTCTGTTGTTAAGCATGCTTAGGTTTTTGTTGTAATTCATCACCAAAGTCAGAATGTTTGGAATCAACTGCTGCACACTACCAAGAACACTGAGAGCAAAACAATGTTTCTCATTCAGTTGAACTACAGTCTTAAGAAGGAATGGGAGTACTGATAAAAGAAGAATGAGTGTATTTGACCCAAGCATTTCCTCCTGACCAGGAAAGATCCACTCATTCTACTGCTTTAACTTAATCCTATTGAAGAAATATAAAATAACAAATGAAACAACTAAACCTTGAAAAGAGAAAGAGACAATATTTAGATTCTCAGAAATGTCTCCAGAGCCCCTACATACACATTGGTGGGGAAGAAGCCAGGTGAAGAGACTATGTGTGTGATTCATTGGTATATCTGGGTTCAAGTACCAGTTTGCATATATATGTCTTTAGGCTTTTTGTGATAGTGCATCAGCTGTGTCCATTCTGTGTGTGTTTGATGTTTATGTGTACATTTGTCTGTACTTATGGGTGACAATGAATGAGTGAAAATAAGTAAATGTGTCGTGTGTGTGTGTGTGTGTGTGTGTGTGTGTGTAGTGTAGTGTAGTGTAGTGTAGGGTGGTGTAATATGTTAAGAGAAAATAAGGTGTTAAATATTAATTTAAAGTTCTTGGAGCTGAGAGATATTTTAGTAAAGTCCTTGCTGTAAACCAGGGAGATGTGAATTCAGATCCTCAGCACCCACATAAAGGGCTGGGCATGACCCACTAAAAACAGACATATGGATGTGTCAGTGGACATGTCAGAAGAACAGTAGATGGCAGGGAATTGGTCCACTAGGAAACAAAGTCCTGATAGATGAATCTTAGATAGACAAGGCCTTGAGATCACAGACTCCAGAATGTCTTCTGCTTCTGCTATGCCTTTACATGCTTGATGCTGTCATTTTTCTCTGGAATCTGCCACGGTATGAATGGGTGTGAGGAGATCCCCACTGCCTGTAATAGAGTATGATCATCTCTTGTAAATGTTCCATTCTATTGGGCATCTTTATCTGTGAATTATTATGAAGATGATTTCTTCCTAAACTGTACTGTTTAACTGAAGCAATGATTGTATACAGTAATAGGGTTAGTTTAAAAAGAATTTTGATGATTGAGGCTTTATAATCAATACAGTAAGGTATTCTGATAGAAGCTTGTTTAGTGGAAGAAATAATATAGGTAAAGGTAGGATGAATTGTTGGCTCTGACTCTGATAAACCAGAGGCTGCAGAATATAAAAAATTAAACAAGGAGGTGTCACACAGCTGTAACATACGAACTTCTATTGAGGAGCCCTATAAACTTTGGCTTAGGTCAATGATTAAGAAAAACAATTGAGTCCCAGAAGCCCAGCTAGCTTAAATTCTTTTCATCTTAATGTTAAGAAATGTGATCACAGTTTCTGGAGTGTATCATAGCTGAAACAAAGCTTTGAAAATAACTTAAAGTTAGATGACAATGTTTTCGTCAAATAGCTTTGAGGTGAAAAGCCAAGAAGACAATCTAAAGTTTTAGAAAGGCACATAGGTGAATGAGGAACTCTTTAAGGTCAAGGAGCAAGAACAAAACAGCCCAATTATCATTAGCTGGCATGCCTCTCTTGCTAGAACTGGCTGATGACCAAAGGTGATGATTAATTCCTTGTACCAGTTTCTGCCATCAATCTCCTGATATATTAAAAAAATTATTGATGAGTAGCTATATACCCTAAATATTTCAAGTGGAGCTGACTGATTATTTTTCATTATAAAAGTTTAGGTTTGTTATTCCTTTAAGACTTTTTATAAGAATACTTTTCAAGATAAATAATAAAGTGATTGATTCTTTCTTTGTAACCACAATACACAGCCTGCCAGTAAAAAGAAATGGCTGAGAAAAATATCCTGCTTGCTCACACTCTGTTAATTTATAACAACTTACTGAGAAACGGGCTCTTAGTATGACTTTGGTGGATTACATTGTTGGATTTTCCTATGTTGAACCATCCCTGGGATGAAAACTACTTGATCATGGTGTATGATTTTTCTGATGTGTTCTGGATTCAATTTGCCAGTATTTAATTGATTAGTTTTTCATCAATGTTCATGAGGGAGACTGATCTGTAGTTCCCTATCTTAGTTGTGTCTTTGTATGATTTGGGTACAAAGTTTATTGTAGCCTCATAAAAAGAGTTTGGCAGTGATCCTTCTGCTAATATTGTGTGGAGCAATTTAAAGAGTATTGGTATTAACTCTTCTTTGAATTTCAGGTAGAATTCTGCACTGAAACCATCTGGCACTGGACTGTTTTTTGTTGGAAGACTTTTGATGGCTGCTTCTATTTCTTTAGGGGTTATAGGTTTATATAGGTTTGAGAAAAGAACTGACACTAGTGAGATTTTCAGAGATCTACAAGGATGACACCAACTGGCAAACTAAGCAATCATGGAGAGGCTATCTTAAATGGCTTCCCCCAATAATGTGACTGATGACTACTTTGTATGCCATCTTAGAGCCTTCATTCAGTGGCTGATGGAAGCAGAGGCAGATACCTACAACTAAACACTGAACTGAACTCCTGGAATCTAGTTGCAGAGAGGGAGGAGTGATGAGCAAAGGAGTCAAGACCCGGCTGGTGAAACCCACAGAGGCAGCTGACCTGAACAAGGGGGAGCTCATGGACCCCAGACTGGTGACTGAGAAGTCAGCATGGGACTGATCCAGACCTCCTGAATGTGGGTGTTCGTGAGGAGGCCTCAGCAATCTATGGGGACTTCTGATAGTAGATCAGTATTTGTCCCTGGCGAACAAATGGACTTTGGGAGCCCATTCTACATGGAGGGATGCTCTCTCAGCCTGGACTCACAGGGGAGGGTCTAGGTCCTGCCCAGGATGATATGACAGATTTTGGAGATCCTCCATAAAGGGCCTCACCATCCCTGGGGATCAGAGAGGGGATGGAATGGGGGTTGGATGGGTTGGTGAAGGATGGGGGAGGAGGGAATGGAGAGGGAGCTGTGATTGATATGTCAAACAATCTTGTTTCTAATTTAAATTAAAAATTATCAAAAAAGAACAATGTGGAGTAGAAGACTCCTGTGTGGCTAAATACAGTTAATGGAAACAGGTGAAGAGATCACAGAAAAGGTAAACTTGCCTAAAAATATACTAGTAAGGAATTAATGAGAAAAGATATCTCCTTAGAACACAGATCAGAGTTCTACTGTGGAAAATGACTATTTTTCCCCTTGTTTTATCATCTTTCTCTTTTCCCTTTTCAGGAACTATGCTTACCATGTCAGTGTCTGACACAGGGCCAAAACTTGTCACATAGATGTCTGTTTTCACTTCAGTCACTGCATCTGAATGAAATAAAGTAGAAAAAATAGAGTGTCATGAAACAGTGTTTCCTTAGGTCAGAAAGTGCAATGCAGATATACTCTGAAATGTAACCAGCTTGCTATTTCTGAGAAGGAACATCCAACATTGTCACATACCTCTCCCCTCAAAAAACCCTTACCTGGCACATATACTATTCTGTGGTGATATATTATTTATAATTTATTAAAGCTTGCCTGAGGATTCATAAAAGTAAGGTCAGCCTCAAACTATAGAGATCAGAAGGTGGTGGCACACACCTCCAATCCCAGCAGCCCGAATCTAGGAGGTGGTGTTGCACACCTTTAATCCTAGGACTCAGGATTAACAGGTAGACAGTTCTCTGTGAGTCCAAGGCCAACCAGATGTACACAAATTTGAATTAGTCCTAAATGAAAACAGCTCATACAAATAGGATTTCAGCACCTAGGATCACACACATTCAATCCCAGCTCTACAGGGGTGTAGAAGATAGGAGAAAGATCTCCCGTAGTCAGTATCAAGCATTCATTCTCCAGCCACATTGAGGATAGGAAGTCTCAGGATTCTCCAGCACATAGAGGAGAGGCAACAGGGTCAGCCCATTCAGCCTGATGTAGTGGTAAGAGCTTGTGGCCCACTGTTTTGCTTTTCTGTTCTCCAGCTTGAAGTTTGAACCCCAGTATCAGTCTCTGGGTCTTTTATTTTTCCTATTACACTATTCCTTCACAGAATACAAGTTAGGTTCAACTATAATTTCTACCACTTTAGATAATGCTGAAAATGACACTGGAATTCCAAACATTAAAACTTAGAGGAAGCTGTTAAAGACCCCTGATACCTATACTTGCTGGCCTCTAACAATGGCCTAGCCTTAACTGTGGTAGCTTAAAATAGTGCAAACTCTAATGCTGCTATACATACAGGAACACAGGATGGTGGCACTCACACTTCCCTAAAAAAATGAAGCATGGAGGCACATGGTAAATGGTTCCATCAATAGTAAGTTGCTGGAACATTTAATATCTGATACTAGACACTCTATGCCATAGTAAGCATGAAAACATAGGCACCATCCATGTGTTGTTTCTTAATAACTATTCTTTATTTTCTTTGGTTTTTTATTTTGTTTGATTGTTTTGTTTTGATTGTTGTTTGTTTTTTGTTTTTTGAGAAATGAATTCTCTGCATAAACCTGTAGTGATACATTATTTATGATTGATTAGAGCTTGCCTGAGGATTCAGAAAAGCTGAGTAAGCCACAAGCCACAGAAGCCAGGCACACAACTTTAATCCCAGCAGTCAGAAGCTAGGAGGTGGTGGTACATACCTTTAATCCTAGGACTCAGGATTAAGAGGTAAACAGATGTCTGTGAGTACAAGGTCACCCAGATCTACACAAGAGTGAATCAGTCTAAAAGAGAATTATAGCTCGCACCTTAAATCCCAACATTAGGGATGTGTATAAGACAGAAGCAAAGTCTCAGAGAGGCATTCATTCTCCAGCCACACTGAGGAGAGGCAGCAGTTTGAGACTTGGTGAAGAGCTCATGAATGGACCATCCCTTTCAGCATGATCTAGAGTTAAGAGAGTGGCTGGTTGCTTTGCTTTCCTGATCCTCAGCTTGAACCTTAATATCAGTCTCTGGGTCTTTTATTTATTTGTGTTACATAGACCTGGCTGTCCTAGCTCTGTAGACCAGGATGACCTCAAACTCACAGAGATCCACCTCCCTCTGCCTCCTGAGTTCTGAGATTAGAGTGTGCCACCACTGCTCCGCTATTTACTTGAAGTTTTTTGTTTTGTTTTGTTTTGTTCTGTATTGAGACAGGATTTCTCTGTTTAGCCCTAGATGTTCTGGAGCTTGCTCTGTGGACCATGCTAGCCTCAAACTCAGAGATCCATTTGCCTCTGCTCTCCAAGTGCTGGGATTAATATGCCACCATGTCTGGCTGACTATCATCCTTGTCTTACCTCTGTATCCTCATTGTATAGAGTAGAGGCCTGTTACTCACTGAATACTTTTCTTCATATTAATGGATAAAGCTCATCACACATTTGACATATTAAAAATAATACAATTGTCTATGCTGCTACAGAAAAATATCTTAGACCACATAATTTATAAACAGTTCAAGTGTGTGGCTCATTATTCTGAAGACTAAGAATTCCAACATCAAAGTTCCAATAGATTAATTTGATACCTAGTGAGAGTTCATTTTTCATATATAATACCCTCTGTATCCTCACATAATGGAAGAAGTTAGAGAACTTGCTGAAATCACTTTTATATAATCACTTTTCCCAATAAAGTTCTACTTAACTAACTTAAAAATTCCCTACATCCTGATGTACCCCATTGGCGATTAAATATCAACACATAAATTTTAGAGACACACAAACATTTAGAGCACAACAGATGACCAGAAAGAGATGCTATACCATTACTCAGTGTCTCTTCTATTTCTCTCAGTTCTGTTCATGTTACTAAAGCCCAAACAATCCATAGCAACGTGTCTCAAATACAGAGAAGAAACAAGTATAACCTATTGCAGTTCAGTCAAACTCATTCATCTTACTCAAAACCTCATAATTGCAGTAACTAAAGTCCCACCCCAGTCCAATGTACCTGACCCTGCAGAGGGAACAAGGGCATTGTACTCACAGAGGAGCATTAAGAAAACCAGGAATGTTAATCACACATGGTGTCTTCTCAATGGAGGAGATAAAATCAGATACCTGTGTTACATCCAGAAAACTGAGAGTGGAGGTTGTTAATGACCTGTTGAACTTTTTGCTCTCTGAAGGGATAGACCTTACCCTAATTCCCCATAATGGTTATCCCAGACTCTTTGTTCCCTAGACCATCATCCATCACCAGGCTGGCTGTCACAAGTACATTATGGCCTGCTGACGTCTATGCTATTTCAGTCAGAGAACACACTAGTTTTTAGGTCTTTTAGCTATTGAACCAACCCTTGTGGTCACATGTACTTTGTAAAGAGTCTCTGTGTAGTCCTAGTGCTTTATTGTGCAGCCCGAATTGGACTTATTAGACTGATTGTTGCCTGGAAACATTTTCCCAAATTATACTGTGTTTTAAATATGTTGACAATGAACTATCTAGTATTAGACTCCCTGAAGTTTGCACCAGGTTTTCATTCTTATCTCTTTGTGTGCTTCTCTTCCGTTCCTAACACCTGCAGGGAACCCCCCTCATGACACCAGCTGACATACTGCAACACAGACAACATTTTAAAAAATTTATGTGAGATTTGACATATATGTATATGTGTACACACACACACACACACACACACGGTTCAGTTTTTGCAGTCTGTGTTTCTTTACTTCCCATGGGTAAGTATGAGATGCACTCTTTTATCTGTACTATATTCACTCTATTTAAACAGTCATGGATTATGACCCAGTTGATTATTCACTCTCCCTAGCCATCTCTAAAGCTTAATATAGTATGCCTTTCCTGAGGCAGTGGTGTGCTCTATGTACTCAAGGCCACTGCACTCACTCAAAATCATTCCATTTTTCAGAAGACTCCATAAGTATCATTTAATAATAATTGGCACTATAATCAGCTTACCAAAAGACACAATTCACTCCCAAGCATAATCAACAAAACATGATTCTGAGACTAGAGCTATGTTTTAAACAATTGGGCTTCCATTTTGATTACAGTCTTCTTTTAAAATTATCTCTATACTTGGGTGAGCAGAGACTATACCCAATATCCAATTATATGGTTCCTGAAAGTGTGTACTGAGAGATTCATTGGCTGGTGAAGTAAATATCTATACATCTATGGTATGGCACAGTTATCTCTAATTTCCTTATTCCTAACTACATTAAACAAAATAGATTAACAAAATACATTACAGTTACATTTGAATTCAACATTGGGTAGGTCATTTTTAGAAACTGAAAAAATTTCTGCATGTAATTGTAAAATTGTAAGAATCATGCAGAATTCCAACAGATGAATAATCTTACATGAAAAAGAGATAGTGCAGAATACATCCAAAGCTGACATTATGGTAGGCCTGGTTATTTAATATGAAGTGACCAAGATAGTTCTCCTATCAACATCCCCTACTTCTGCTGCTCCCCAAACCATCCCAGCTCCCAATACCCCAACAGAAATGTGAAGTGACATTAAAACACTGTAATTCTAAGGGACTATGAAATCATTGTGGCTATGACAGAGTCTAGATGGATTGAAAGGTTTGGGTTCTGTATGTGAAAAAAGGAAATAAAACTATATAGAGAATTCAAAAACGAGAGTGGAAGAAAGTGAGAAAGCAAGAAAAGGAATATTTCTATGGGATCAACAGAGAGGTTATGGTGTTTTCAACAGAGAAGCTAAAATTTCCTAATTTAGTGGCCTGTGGAGCCAGGATATTTTCTTGTATCATATAAGTGCAAGTGAAGAGAATGTTTTGAATTTATGCCATCATCCTTAGTTCTTTGACCTTATACACCAACCATGTGTAAACACAAAGATATTTTCTCTAGTATTCTACACAGAGCCCATCATGTTTTAACAGCTTGTCTCCTTTTCTGGTTAACAGATCTAGTATCCTTGAAGCATGGTACCTGAGAGAATACAGAACTTGTATAAGGGTAACACGATGGCTAGCTGAGTTAGAATTTATGTCATATCAGTTCTCTTTTTTATCATTTTTTATTTTAATTTTAAATAGCTTGTTTTACATGTCAATCCCAGTTCCCTCTCCCTCCCCTCTTCCCGCACTCCCCTTCCCCCCCCTCTCCCACCCTATTGCCAAATCCTTCCACATAGGGGATATCTAGAGTCTGTCATTTTACTCTTGGTAGGGTCAAGGCACTCCCCTAAGAGTCCAGGCTGAGAGAGCATCTCTCTTTGTGCTATAGGCACATGAAGACAGTTTGTATACCAGGGATAGACACTGATCCACAGCTCAGGGCCCCATAGGTTGCCCAGGCCTTCTCACTGACACTCACATTTGG